AAAAAAAAAAAAAAAAAAAAAAAGAAAAATGAAAGAAAAGAAAAACAAAGAAAAAGCAAAAAAGAAAATATATTCTATATATTTTATATTCACAAAATAAATATAAACAATTGAATCGACCGATTCCCCTTTTTCATCGTCATCGTTGTTAGCGTTCGCGCGCGCATCTACACACGCACACGTATAAACATTTACGTATTTACGTATACGCGTGTTTGAAAGTATATTTCCTACCTCGTAACATCATTTTTTATATTTATTTATTTATTTATTCATTTATTTTTATTTATTTTTTTTTTATTTTTTTAATTTATTTGTTAACCTTTTTTTTCCATTTACAAATCAAACAACCATTTCGTATTTAAAATGTGTGTACGTGTATCCCGTTTGAAAGTGTATGCTGTGTGTGTTTAATCGAACGTACGACGAAAAAAAAAACGTTTATTGTACGTCGTACGAAAATAATAATAATAATAATAATAATAATATTAATAATAATAATAATAATAGTAATAATTAATAATAATAATAATAATTAATAATAATAAAATGTTTAATTAGGCATGACAATACTTAAAAACACAATCTTTTGATATTATTTCTAAATTCGCTAAGGAAAGTATTAACTATTTGTATATTTTATTTTATTCTTCGTTTTCTACTGTCATATTTTTAAGTACAAAAATATTTATGTATATAGTACATACATATATATATATATGCGAATGTAAATTATAGTACTTTCATTTCCAAAAATTTGTCTTAATCAATCAAAGAAAACATCCTGAAACAAACCAATGAAATAAAACAACCTTTTTTCCCACATAAAAATTCACAAACACCTGGGTACCTTTAATAAAGAATATCGTCTCACTCAAAAAGTGGGGAAGGGTGGTGGGGGGGGGGGGAGTTTGTAAAAAAAAATAAAAAATTCAAACTCAGGGATAATGATAAACGTCACGTCCATTTAAATATTGAACCGGTCTGCAATTGGTCAAAAGTAATCCATCGTTTGAACAGATTTCTCGAAATTTTGCAACCTAGAATAAAAAAATGTTAAAAAAAAAAAAAAAAAAAAAAAACAAGGTCTCTCTTTATCGTTTCATGGTGTTATTTTTTTGTTTTTCTAATTATAAAGAAGAGTATAATCTGTCGTCAACCTGATTAGAGGAGATTGGTACAGGAACCGGATCGATAAGCCAAGTGACAATCTCACTGCAGGGTGGCTGAGTAAGAGAACCGTGATAGGCGTAATAATGGTTTCCTTCTGTATTATGCAACCATGATAAAGGAAAAGGTGGTATATATACCTTACTACCAGGTTGTTTGATGTATCTCAAATTGTTTACTATATAATCCAAATAAGGATTATCAACAGGTATTATCTAAAAAAATATAATCAAATTTCATTATTTATGATCATTTTTTGGATTGATTATTTATGATCATTTATTTTTTTTTTTTTTTTTTGATTGATTGATCATTTATTATCATTTTCTTAATTGATTATTTATTATCATTAATTACGTTGAAAAAAGATGATACTATGACAACACCATCTTTAGCGTTTAGTATAGCTGCTTGAAAAGGTGAAAATAAATCACTTTTAACATGAACAAATTGCAATTCCATGGCATATCGAACATCATTAATCGTATGTTCACTTCCTTCGTTATCCGATGGTCCCCAATGGAACATCATTGAGTGAAATTTATATGTATTAGTTAAAGGACCCCCTTTGATTAAAGGATACGCACGATTTCCACACCATGTACCGCATACTATCACTGTTATCAATATAATGTACATTTCAATCGATTTAATTAATAATCATTTTGTTTAGGATAGGTTTTATTAAGGATAGATTTTCTTTTTTTGTCAGTTGTTTTATTTTTGATAAAATAATTTTAAGTAAATAATTATTTTTTTTTCTTCTAAAGATTCGTTTAAATTATTAAATAATATTAATAATAATAATATTTTATTATGTGAAAAGTATATTAAATTAATGTATTAATTTAATTATTTATATATTAATTTTTAATATATTTATATATCATAATTTAATATATATTAATTTAATATATTTATATACCATAATTTAATATATTAATTTAATTAATTATATACCATAATTTAATATATATTAATTTAATATATTTATATACCATAATTTAATATATTTATATATCATAATTTAATATATTAATTTATTATATTTATATACCATAATTTAATATATTAATTTAATTAATTATATTAATTTTTAATATATTTATATACCATAATTTAATATATATTAATTTAATATATTTATATACCATAATTTAATATATTTATATATCATAATTTAATATATTAATTTAATATATTTATATACCATAATTTAATACATTAATTTGATTAATTTAATTAATATTAATAATTTAACTCTTAGTTAAATATAATTGAATTAGAAATTGATTTATTTAATATAAACAAAAAAAAATTAGTATTTATTATATTAAAATTAAAAAATAACATTAATCTTGATATTAAATAAAAATAAAAATTAACCAGAATTTCCATCATTTGCCATAATCATCGAGCATGGTACTTCATCGTGACCGATCCATTCGATCTCATCGTATTCCTCGATCGCAATAGTTGTTGTAATATTAATCGGTGATTGATTATAACCATTACTTTCTGGATATAATACTTTCCAAGTATGAGGTCCATTATGTGCAACATATCCAAATAAAATGATCGGTGAATTGCATTGTTGGATCAACGAATTTTGAGAAAATATATGGGACCACTTGATCAATTCACTGGACAGCAATGCTTTTTCATTTTTTTATTTTTTTATTTTTTTATTTTTTTATTTTTTTTTTAACAAAGTGTTGATCAAATTTAATGATTAAATTTAATTATATTAATAATTCGATCATGTTTCTCTCGCATACCTAAGAATATAAAGCTGCCGGACACTATCATCAATTCGGGCCATGAAAATCCTAACATATTTATTTTGTTGTTATCTCAATTATCTCAATTATCTCAATTATTTATGTTGTAATTATTATCAAAATAACTTGATAATTTGTAAATTATAATTCATGATAATTAACATTGATAACATCATTTGAAATACAATTATTTGAATAGAATAATTTTAGGTTAAATAATATATGTATATATATATATATGTTCGATATATCGATTTCTTCAATTGTTCTTATGTCGTAAGATTGAAAGCTGAATCAAAATAGAATTCAAAATCTTTAAGTACTATGAATTAAGTATTCTAAAAAGTATGTCAAATCGATAATATTAGAAGAAAATAAATCAAGAATTCACGTAATCAATATGCAGTGTGCTGGTAAGATTATTCGATCAATGTGTAATATCAGAATAAAAAAAAAAAAAAAAAAAAAAAAAAAAAGTAGCCTAATTCAACAAAACCTTAATCCCTTTTCGATTAAGGTGACAGTCCGAAATGGGGTCAATCTCCGGTTGATATTGACGATAATCACGTTCTTAGAATTGAATATCCACCCTTAACTATGAGTGGTCATTGGAGTCAAGATGGTTATGCAAATATTAGGAATACAGGTTCTACAGGTAAATTGTACCTAATCATGAAATATTTTTATTGACACCATTTAACTTGATAAATTAATATTTTTTACAAATGATACAATTTTGTTCTTTTTTTTTTTTTTTTTTAATTTCGTTTCAAATTATTTTTGTGATATTTCTATAAATATTAATATAAAAACTTCATTATTAAATATATAATATTATAATTTATATTTTAACTTATAATATAATTAATAATTTAATAATTTTTAAAATAATTAATAAATATATTATTATATTTAAATTATAATAATTATATTGAATAATAATAAATTATATTAAGATATATAATAATATTTAAATATATTATAATATATTACTTAATTATTAAATTATTAATTTATGTTATAAATACATATATATTTTAATTTTAATTTATATTTTTATTTTACAATAATAATAATAATAATAATATTTTTATATTAATATATAATTATTATTATTATTTTAATATTAACCATAAATTGAATTGAAATAATGATCATTGAGATGCTTAAAAATATTGCAAAATAATAAATAAATTTATAATTTTATTTCAATTTTTAGGATATTAAATGTTTGCAGAACTTAAAACTTTGAGATATAATATTTTAATTATAGTTGGGATAACTTTGGAAGGTAATAGAAGTCCAGCAACAATTCGAGGTGGACCATTAGTAGACGACGTTTATGAACTTTCAGAAGTTGTTTTTCGTTGGGGCTCATCGAACTGTAAAGGTGCCGAGCATACTCTCAATGGAACATGGTTTACAATGGAAGCTCAAGTTTTACATTACAATCGTCGATACGAAGAAATTGAGCAATGTTGGGACAAAAGGGATGGTCTAGCTATCTGTTCCTATTTTCTTCAAGTTTATCAACTTCCTGCTTGGGATGAACATCCATTGTTTTCAAAGATCACTGATAATTTATATAAAATCACTGAACCTGATTCTAATGCTAAAATATCGCCCAGTACGTTTTACCAATAGTACAATTAAATTAACTTCAAATCCCTTTATACATTGTTCGTTGAAACATTTTTCTATTATTTTGTATTTTTTACAGATTGTTTGAGTTGGATGAGACAAGCTTGTCAAACACCTGGTTATTATACCTATACAGGTTCAATTACAACTTGGCCCTATCACGAATGCGTAACTTGGATCATATTTCCAGAACCTATAAGAATTTCGGAAAATCAAGCACAATGTTTTAGAATGTTAAGAAACAAGCAAGGAAATTTTATCAAAGAAAATTATAGGGAAGTTCAAAAACTCCATTCGAGAATTATATATTATATTTGTTGAAATTACAATATATATATATATATACTTTGACAATTATCAAAATTAGTACTGTATAATTTAATAAAACAATAAATATATATATATACGTCAACGATGAAAATAGATACATTAAGTATATCGATAAGTGTTAAGTTAACAACTTCACGAACCAATATGTCGTTCATGTAACAAATATGAAAATAGGTTAACAAAATTACAAAATGTTTAACAAAATTCTAAAATTGTTTAGGTCGTTAATTATTTAAATTACTTTTCGATTAAATTTCAATGATTTAGTAATAAACAAAATTATGCCAAAAAGATTGAAACACGATTCACGTAAAGGTTTGTATTAATCAATCAGAAACATTTGTGTGTTTTTTATTTTTTTTTATTTTTACTGACACAAAATGAATTGAATTTTTTTTTTTTCAGATGCTGATGCACCTACTATCCTTTCAACGTCATCCAGTGGTCCACCAAAGTGGAGGCAATCACCAATTGATTTGAGAACAATCAATACTTGGATTCAAAAGTTTCCACCTTTATTGTTAACCGGTTATTGGTTAAAAAAAGGAAAAGCAATTATAACGAACACAGGAAAAACAGGTTACTCTAATGGTTATCATATAATTTGTTATTAACTTTAATATGTAAAATTGCTTATTGTTATAGTTAACATAGAATTATCGAATCAAACTATCGAACCTTATATACATGGTGGTCCATTGAACGAGGATGAATTTAAATTAAAAAATGTACAATTTCGTTGGGGTCCAACCGATTCTCGTGGTGCTGAACATTCTATCGACAATATTTGGTATAAAGGACAACAATTTATATTTAATAATAAATATTAATAACGCATTAGATAAAATGAACAAATTAACCCGTATTATATTCGATAGAATGCATTTGTTAAACCCTAACAAAATATTTTTTACTCGATTAAATTTAATCACTGAACAAGAAGATGACCAACCGATTTGTTAACATCCAAGGAAAATTTATAAATAAGCTAATAATGATTTTTTTTTTTTTTTTTTAATTTAAACATTAGGGTCTGTTAATGTGAGATATATACGAACTTATTATTTATATTATATCAAGATTTGTGTCCTTGATAAAATTTAATTTTAATAGAAAATAATTCTCTGTGATGATCGTTTTGATAAAAAGAAAATATTGTAATAATTAATTAATGTTATTCTAATGTTTATTTAAATTTAGGTATTCAATGGAGGCCCAAGCATTGCATTGGAATACCAAATATGGTTCGTTAGAAAAATGTTATGACAAATCCGACGGTATTGCAATAATTGCATATTTGATGCAGGTAATAAAATAATGAATTAACTTTTATTTTTTCTTTATAATAAATCATTCGTATTATTAATTATAAAATTTTGTTGATACAGGTAGTTGGATGTCAAGGAATGCCAGATAATCCTGCAATTGCACGTGTCACTGATAATTTATCAAGAATTAAGAAAATGGGTAGTAGTATAGAAGTCACTCCTGGTATATAAAAAAAAAAAAAGAAACAAATTAATTAATTAAAAGTATGTTAGGACGATATTTTATTATGGTTGATTCATTTTTTTTTTTTACAGATTGTTTATGGTGGATGCTGCATGGTTGTTCAGAGCCTGGTTATTTTACGTATTTGGGTTCTCTTACAGTGCCACCTTTTAACGAATGCGTTATTTGGATTATAATTTCTCATTCCATTAAAATTTCTTCCAATCAAGTAAGATTCTTTGAAATAATTATTAAATATTTAATAATAATTCGTTGATTTTTGTCTTTTCTTTTTTGTTTTGTTTTTTTTTTTTTTTTTTTTTTTATTATACGTAGATGAACGCTTTTCGAAGTATTTACGATTACAAATGGGATCCAATCGTGAATAATTTCAGACCGCAACAGGATCCTTGCGGTAGACGAATTTTTTACGACACAGGATTCACATCTGCCCACTTTCGTGATTGATTAATTAATTAATGAAAAAATTGATTGCGGCAATTGGCACTGAATTTATTTCTAATTCGATTTGTATCGTTTTTTTCGATACGAATCATGGAGATCATCGTTGATTAAACATGGAACTCGATCCGCCATTAAACATTTCACAATATCAGTTTCGCATTAAATATAAATTAACAAGTGATATTTAATTAATATATTTTACAGCATGACACTTTCTCTTCCAGAATATTACAAGGGTGTAATTGGTAAGTATAAAAAGAAAAAAAAAATAGAATAAATTATATGACAATTGTTTAAAGTAACAAATAAATAGGTTATGTTTTGATTAATCTACCAAATTTTTATAAATATCATTACATTAATATTACAAATATTTAAAATTCAATGTATTCAATGTTAAATGAAAATGAGGGACTAAAAAGGTTTGGCAAAAAGTGGACAATCACCGATAGATTTGGATGACAATATAATTCGTCGTAAAAGATATCCAACGTTTATTTTAAATGGTCATTGGTTAAACGACGGAGACGCCATTTTAGGAAACGATGGAAATGTCGGTAATTAAGTAATCATTATCGTTGATTGATTAAAAGTAAATACGTTTATTTCCAAAATATATTGATTCAATGAAATATTCTCTTTCTTTTATTAGCTTATGTAATCCTTGGTGGTAACAGAATACCATCGACAATTACTGGCGGACCACTTTTCAACGACATTTATGAATATTTTATTTGTAACTTTCGTTGGGGTGAAGATAATTGTAATGGCTCGGAACATACCATTAATGGCACTTGGTTATCATTGTTTTTTTTTTTTTATTCATTTAATTATTTCATTCTTTTTATTTTATTCTTTAGAAAATCTTTGTTCTAATTTTTTTATTGTTTTTTATTTTTATTTGAAATTGTAGGTTTTCGATGGAAGCTCAGATGGTACATTGGAATAGAAAGTATCCTACATTCGATGATTGTTTAAATCGAAAGGATGGAATTTGCATTATGTCATTTTTATTTTTGGTATGTTCATTTTATTGTAATTTAATTTTCACGGCAAAATTTATTGACGATTTTACAACGTTTGCGTATGATGTCCCAGTTTTTTTTTTTTCCTACCACTGACAAAACTCATACGAATCGTTTAATATTTTTTTTACAACGTTTTTTTTTTTTTTAAATTCAGCACTTTTCAAACCCATATTCGTGTAATACATTTTTTGAATTAGTATTTTACACTAATATCAAATATGCTCGTATAATTTTGTTGATCAAAATTACTGGAACATTTGTAAATTCGTCATGGAATTGTTCAGGTACCATTCGGACGATCGGAAAACAATCCGCAATTAGAAAAAATTACGGAAAATTTGAAACACGTTACAAATGCAGGATCCGAGACAAATATTCCAGCTAGTATGTTTCTTTTGTTTTTTTTTTTAAAATAATTCTGAAAAGTATATCTTCCATAAAGAAACATATTATTTAGATGCATTATGTTGGATGAGATGGGCAACACGTTGCGAACGTTATTATACTTATCAAGGATCGTACAACGAAGGTTATTGCAATATTCTTGGATATCCTGAATGTGTTACTTGGATTATTTTTCCAATGATGATTAACATAAGTCCATCACAAGTAATGATTTTTTCATAATTTATTATTAATCAATAAAAACTAATTTAATTGTATTTTAGGTAAACGCTTTTCGAATGTTGAAAGATGATAATGGTAATTTTATTAAAAATAATTGCAAACAAATACAATTGTTAAGAGGTAGAAGAATATTTTTGGGTATTCAATAATCATACAAATAAGGTATAATAATAATAAATTTTAAATAAATTAATTATTTATGATGTGTATATATGGTTCGTATTTTTTTAAGAATTGAATTAACATAAATTAGCATATATTAAATATTTAATATAATTAAAATAAATACTAAATAAATATTTAATATTAATTTTAATATTAAATACATTTTTAAATATTAATACTAATACTAATATTTAATATTAATTTTAATATTAAATACATTTTTAAATATTAATACTTATATTTAATATTAATTTTAATATTAAATATATTTAAATATTAATATAAATATTATATAGAATATAAATTGTCATATAATTATATAATAATAATATATTATATTTAATTTTATAAATAATTTCATAATGTTAATAATTTAAATTATTATATTATATAATTATTAAATAAATTTAAATATTAATATATTAATATTATATAGAATATAATTTGTCATATAATTATATAATATAATAATATTTTATATTTAATTTGATAAATAATTTAATAATAATAATAATTAATATTATTATATAATATAAATTTTAATATAAAATAAATTTTAATATTAAATTAATATTTAATTTAATTAATTGATAATATAATAATATATTTTCTAATATAATTTTTAATTTATCTAATATAATAATTTTGTTTAATAATATTTAANATGTCTGTTTGTGGATTAGATTTGAGAACACCATGTTTTTCACACGGACAATTATACGTGGCATGCTCTCGAGTAGGTAAACCATCCAGTTTGTTTGTGTTAGCTAAAGATGGACTAACAAAAAATATTGTTCACGCTATAGCATTAAGAGATTGATATTGTTTAATAGTGTTACTGTCGTAATTGTTTAATTAATGATATATAATTTTAAGGAATAAATTATAATAACTTAAAAATAATGTTTGCCTTTTGTTATTTTTATATTCCCTCATCATTCACAGCRCTCCATGCTTATTTCACGCATATACCACATTCTTACATACATACAATATACACACTCTAACATACATACATACTTACAAGGAGTAAGCTATTTTTTGTCTGGAATAAAAAATTATATACTGAATTTTATTAATTAATAAATTATCTTTGTTTTATCAGTTTTACGTTCTTTCATTTAACGATTTTTAAATCGATCTGATTATGAAAAAGTTTTCACCTCGAAAAAAGCCACAGCAACGCGTGGCCGGGGCACCCTAGTAAACTATATATGTACATAAAATTCTATAAATTATTTAAATAAATAATATACAATATTTTGTTTATTACCTGTGATAATCCATCTCGTTCAAAGCCTTGTCAAATGTCCCATCAATGATCTCCTTGTCATTACTTATAGAAATATTATTATTTTCCTTTAATTGATCGGCAAATAAAAATGTACCTGGTAACAAATCAACCGACAATATGTCATTTTGATCGATACAAAATTCATTACCGTCGTCGAAACATTCTTTTGCATTAACATAAATCCATAATAAATATAACGAATATAATAAAATAAACATCGCTTATGTATAATCAAATAGAAAAAAGAAAAAAAAAGATTGTAAATAAAATAAATGAAAATATTTCGAAACGAGATCAGACTGGTAAGAAAGCCTAAACTAAACTGAACACGTATTATAAAGTACAATCTAAGCTTTCTGTTAGTATAATAATTATCTGCTAGAAATAATTACTGTAACCGTAACAAAATACTCCGTTACAAACGTCGTCATACTCTCTGTCACTTAAATCTTTCTTTTAGTATCTCGAAAAAAAGAACAAGAAAAAAAACAATGAACTTAAGTAAGAAAAGAAAATATTTATATCGTATATTTAACTGGGTAAACCTAACTCACATTCAAAAGAAAAAAAAAAAAGGAGAAAATGAAAGAAGAGGGTAGTAAACAGTATTAGATTCAGTAAGGGATTAATTCAGCACGTTTTTTGGTTGCGACAAACAGCGTAACCGATTTCATCGTAATCCGACACCTATGATTAAATACCTTTATTAAAAACCACTTACGTTAGGTCTTATGAATGTTTTAGAAGTATAGAAAGAGAGAGGGAGAAAGAGAGAGAGAGAGAGAGAGAGAGAGAGTTTGTCGAGGTATATATAAATGGTAAAGGGGGATGGTAAGACGAGGTAATGGGGGCTTTGTTCCCTTGGGAACTTGCTCACCTGTCTAATATCTCGCGAGAGTGGGCTATATCTGTGTACAACAACACTCATCTTACACCTATTCCGTAACCAGTTATACACATCGAGAGCTTTACTGAAAATTAATCGCCCAGTTTGAAAGAATTCTTTACAAATTCTTCTTATTCCTTACCAATCTTTTTCTCTTTTTCACCTGTTTTCTTCAAAAACCTTTTCTTATTATTCTTATTCTTATTATTATTATTATTATTATAATTTCAGGTACGAATAAAACAAACAACACGTTATTTATAGTATTTATATAATAGTTATTATATTTTTAAATATAATATATGTTATTTATTAAATATTTATTAAAATATTAAAAACTAATTTATTAAAATATTGTTAAAAGTATTTTTAAAAATACAACAAAATTTATTTTATATAAAATATATTTTTAAATATAACATATTATTTATTATATAAATAATTATTAAAATATTATAAATTAATTTATTAAAATATTTTTAAAAGTATTTTTAAAAATACAACAAAATTTATTTTATATAAAATATATTTTTAAATATAACATATATTATTTAATAAATATTTCTTAAAATANCTAATATAATAATTTTGTTTAATAATATTTAATAATCTAATATAATATTTAATTTAATTAATTGATAATATAATAATATATTTTCTAATATAATTAATTATTATTTATAATTTTTATTGAACTATATTTCACATTTTAATAATACAATTTCTTTGTATTTCAGCTTAAAACGAAGTATCAATACCATCCAATCTGTTGTATGATTCAATTGCAGCAGAAATTTGATCGATTGTCTCAACGAGAAATTCACGTATACGTATGAAAAATATTTCCATGTAAAATTGATCACGAATATTATCTTTAACTAACAAATTCATTGTATTTTTAGGCGTGTATTCATTTATCGATTCGTTACTTTTACTTTTACGTTTCTTTCGTTTTTCATTAAAACTTTTAACAGATAATTCTGACAACGATAAATTATCCTGCTTAGATGATTTATCTTCATTAATTAAAATACAATTATTCGTGACAAATTCAGTCTCAATTTCAAAACGATTTACAAACGAACATAATAAATTATAAACAATTATATATTTTTGATCATTAACGTGATTAGATATCAATGATGGTTTCAATGATTCTTTGCAAAGATTATTAAAACGTAATAACATTTGTTGTCTACGTATTGGATTTGTTATCAACAAAAGTATACCACGTAAATCATTCAAAGATAAATTCCAAGTAATCGTTGGTTTATCGACAACTTTGCAATAAATTTCACGAAATTCCAATAACAAATTGTTATGATAATAATGATAAGGATTTTTAGCATTAAAAATATCATTTTCCAAATATAAACTAACGTATGCTGGTTCCGGTGGTTTTCTATAATCAACATTGGTTATTATTGTTTCAAGAATATCTCGAATTATGGAATCTCTGATGCGACGATTTAAATACAAATCAATATTGGAAATATTTAAATTGTCGAATATATTTTCTTTCATTTTTTCAGCGCACGACCATAAACGAAATATCAATGGACACTCGCATAATTTAGGATTCGTAAATAATCTCCATGATTCCGTATAAACGTTTGAATTACGTGGTAAATAAAATATTTTTAATCGTACGGTATTTCCTTGTAAAATGATACCGTCAGTTTTGTTGAAATAAAATGGACTATCGTTTTTAACAAAATATTGTACTTTCGATCGAAATGACCAATCTCTCCAATAATAATGAATCACCGTATTACCTTTGTTCTCAAATGTAATCATTTTTTCTGATCTTTCGTTTACCATACCACGAAATATCAAATTCCATTCGATCGGTGATTTATCGTTGCATCGATCATCAAAAGATTTGTTTTGAATGATTTCTCGATCCTGTATCTTCAAAATTATCGTCAAATCTGAATCGAAATATTGTTCATCTTCTTTTGGTGCAGTTATCGTTATTACAGGTATTTTATAAAATTTCTTGAATTTTTCCCTAGTTTTACCACGAATTAATAATTCTTTAGTTTGTGGTTTATTATTAATCAACGATGTTACAATTTTGTCATGTATTTCATTTTGACGATGTTTTTTTAAATAAATATTTCTTTCCCATAATGTTTTTTTCAACGATATACCATGCAAACCTTTTTCACGTTCGATTAATTCAGGAACATCGACGTAAGTTAAATTTGATTGAAAATTCAAATCCATTTTGATAGGTAAGATTGTTTTAATTTTGGGTAAACATAGATCATAGTGATCAGGCACGTTTATAGGAATCTTTTGAAATTCTTCTATAGGTTTTACACCCATGGAAGAAACGTATTCAATGATATTTTTCATTTCAATCACTGAACGTACTTTATCACTAGAATTGATAATTTGATCGATTCTTGAACGACCAGTTAACGATTTTATACGACGACCAATTTTATCTCTTTCGTTTAACCATTTTTTCCAATTTTTTAAACGCCGATCTTCAATATATTCATCCTGAGGAGTATCCTTGATCAAAGGATCATAGCATGTCGTCGTAAGCATTGTAATACGTTTTTCAAAGAACTTATTTGAATCTTTTCTTTTACCTATTTTTCTTGCATAATCCATTTTTTCTTTTTTTTATATTTATATTTTTTTATATACTTAAAACTTACCCACTCAGATCATTCAAGTTTTCTTAATTAAAATCTTTACCAAAATACACTTTTGTATTAGTTTTAAGTTAATAAGAATGAAAGGTTATAATAGTTTAGAAATTTAATTAAAAATTTTCATTATCATTTACTACTACTACTACTACTACTTCAGTTCAATATATATATATATATATATATATATATATATATATATATATATATATTTAATCGATATTTATTATCAAATAATATCGAAAACACAAATAGTTAATATAGTTAATATTCTTCAAACATAATGGAAGGTAATTAAATTCAATGAAACAATTGTTTTGGAAAATTCGAATTAAATTTCATTTCAATTTCATTTCAATTTCATTTCAATTTCATTTCATTATCCTCAAAAGGAGATGTATTTTTCTTTTTTTCTTTTTCATTCCTTTGATTAACTTTTACAATTGATAGATTTTAATAGTTTTTGTTTGTTTGTAGATAACAGTGAGATTAATTTAGAAAATGTAAAATTAATTCAAAAACTGGGTAACGTTGAAGGAAAATTAGAATCACCTATCGATTTGGATATCAGTAAAATGACTCCTATTAATTTGCCTACGTTGAAATGGTTTTACTACGACGTTGCACCACGTAAATTAAAAATTACCAACACCGGTGACACGGGTAAAATCCAATTAATTCGACTAATATCAACGTATTATTCATTCATTTAATATTTTAGTTTAATGTGTGTGTGTGTGTGTGGTACTGGTGATAAACAATTTTCAAATAAACCATATATATATTTTACAATAAATCATTCACAATTTTAATGCAGCTGTTCTAAGCGCAAAATGGCAAATGGAACAACGACCATACGTCACTGCTGGACCTCTTAATGGAAATTACGTTTTTTCACAAATGCACTTTCATTGGGGTCAAAATGAAATTCATGGTAGCGAACATCGTGCCGATAATGCAAAGTAAGCTAACTTTTTTATTTTTTTTTATTTTTTTTTATTTTTATTTTTTTATTTTTATGCAAAAATTTCATCGTAACAATTTTTTAATTGAAAGTACACCGATGGAGTTACATGTGGTACATTTTAATACTCAATATTTGAAATTGGAAAAAGCATTGCAACAACTTGACGGTGTTGTAATAATCGTTTATTTTATTAAGGTATAATAACGTTTGATAATTGAAATAATTGAAACGTTTTTGAAAAGAAATTAACGCTTAATTAACTTGACAATTATTTTTGTTCATTTTTAATTTCTTTTTATTTTTACCTTTGTACAGTTGCAAACACCACCAAATATATTTTTAAAGAATATAACAGATGCATTGTCATCTATTAAAATAGCACGTACGAGTATTCGTTTGGTACCAATTGTTTTAAAAAATATTATAAAACCTTTTAACGATGATTATTTTGTATATTGGGGATCGATTACATCGTTAAACAACATACATAGCATAATGTGGCTCGTTTGCAGAGAACCCATTGGTATATCTAAAGAACAGGTATTCAGAAACATTATTATATTAATTATGTCTAATTATAATATCAATAATTAAATTAATTCATTAATTTTCAATACAAAATATGATCAAACGAAATTCAATTCATAATTACAGATAGACGAATTTAGAAAATTATGCGACGTTAATGGTAAAGAAATTATTGAAAATTGTCGATCAATTAGTAATAGACAAAATAGAAATATTTTTCACGTTTGTCCATCTGGTTCTTTACATGCAACCCTTTTACCAATATCGAGAAAACAATTAGTTCAATCTAGCAAAGCTATCGCTGATTCTGAACATATTATTAGAGAAATTACTTAATCAAGTTAATTATTAATGTAATATATCAATCAATAATAATAATAATTTAATATTGGATAAAAATATTGCAAAGAAAAAAAAATCCAACGATTTTATTTTCTTCTTCTTCTTCTACGACGTCTTTTGATTCTTTCTTTACGTAAATCGCAATTAGGGTAAAGTTTAGCGCAATCTGCATCACCCAAACCAAGTATCGAAGCTTTTACAGATTCCAACATTGCCGACCATTGTGAATTTCTAGTAACTCTTCCTGTAATCCAGCTCATACCTAAACTGTAAAAAAAACACTAGACTAGTTATCTTCATTATTCATCGAAAATACAAAATTCAAATTTTATTTATCGTCGATAATATCGCATCCTATGGAAGGTATCTACTTTATCGTCAGTAATAAAAACAAAAAGTATATTGTAAAATAAAAATAAGTATTGCAAATAATCATATGTACCTCCAAACGGGTATCCAAATTTTACGACCATCGTTGGTATTTTTTGAATATTGATTATCTTCGCATAAAATTCTGCGCAAACAATTAGCAGAATCTCTGTCGGCAACCATGGCAGCTTCGAGTGATCTTAAAACGTGATAAGATAATTCATTTAATTCCTGATTACTCGAGTAACTCATTGTAAATCCTTCGATGTTTCTTTTAAAACGTGTAGTACCATCCGTGTTTCTTCGAATTGTTGTTGTAGTTGATGCAACTGTAGTCATATTTTGCTATAGGAAATGTACAAACAGATTGTATGACATCATTAAATATAATAAATGGTCATAAAAGAAGATCTATAATAATCAAATGCCTTTCCCCCCCCCCCTCATCCCTCCCTCCTCCTCCTTCCCCCATATAAATACCGTTGCATTCATCAACAATTGTATGACGAATAAACCAAACGCCAAGAATGCTAATGCAGTTAATGCAATTTCAAAGAAATCTTTCAACGAAAGCTCATGACCCTTTTCTTTGTAATGATAAACTGGTTTGTGATAATCATCCTCGTATTCGTGATGTTCAGGATGATAGGGTACATGATAATAATGTTCCTCGTGTAAAGCAGGAAAAATTTCACCATGATGACCATAATGATCACTATGACCACCACCACCGTAACCATAGTGATGATAATTGTGTCCCGAAGCAACAGCTACGTGATCTGACTCGATATAACGTTACAATCATTTATTATCATTTAAACAATAATAATAATAACAATTGATTAGAGCAATGTTTACCTCCACTTTCACTTGGGTGTTCGTAAACTCCAATTTTTGTTGATGGTAATGGTGCTTGCATGGCATAACCTGTAACTTCACCATCAAATTCCCCAACATCTTGATCGTATTGTACACCTTGTTTTTTAGTTAACACTTTACGTGGTGAATAATGACGATAAATATCGTCTAAAGTGGTTGTCCTGTTGTTAAATTAAAAAAAAAAAAAAAAAAAACCATTTAAAGTTTAATACAAGAGTCAAGAGATATACTTATGGGGTTAGGAATATTCAATTCCTTTAAAGGATCATCTATTCGATGAGAAAAGATACGTCACCTTTGAAGCCAATTTTTATATTTCGAGCTACCCTCGTCCCATAACATTTTATCGTGAACGGTCACGTTGTCGGTTGCCTCAAAATCTGTTATAATAGGTTTGGAAGGTATAGAATCGGGTTTCCTTTTAACTCTCGGTGTGCTAACTTCTTTGACAATTTCTTCTGCCATGTAACCGTGACAGAGATACTCGTTCATTCGTTTTCTAATGATTCAACATTTATATATATTTATTGTAAATATTAAATATTAAATTATTGT